TCTGTAGATATTTTGATTAGATGGGATAGGTCCTTTTTGATTATATAAACGCTTTACGAACATCGACTTTTAATCTCACTTACTATAGAGATAAATCATGGCAAAATAAATACAGGCAAGTTTTTATAGTGTAACACTTAAAGGAGAAAGTACTCGATACCTCGACAAAACGTGTTCTTGCTCCCAGTCCACTCTCCGTTCCTGTCACATACCCTTGCTGAAGTGCCCTCAAGAACGTAGCCTGGTGTATTGCAGGAAAAACTACAGATCTGGCTGTAAGTGCTTCTTGATAAACACGAACGTGGAGACACGGTACCATTCGCAGGAGGAGTGAGTGCACTACAGTTTACCACTGCAATATGGGATTAAATAGGAGGAAAATAAAAACATTTCTTCATTAGCCTATCAGTTTTGGAGTTGCGGGTATGACTGGGCCGGTACTATGTCGAATTGTACTGTGGGATTGTTTGGTAAAAGCTGTCGCTAATTCTTTTGGCTGTTACGACGCTGCCCTGGAAACTGGGTCAAAATTAGTCCCCAAAACAGTTCCACAATGCAATTTGACACAACACCGTCCCAGTCTTGTAGCGCGACTTTAAAATGGCCGATATAGCTTTACTTTATCAACAAGACAAAAAGCGCCCGCAGAAAAAGTGTCGCAGTTAATAAATTTGCCACCTGCAATTTCCTTTTCTTCTACAGGCAGAGCAGCCGATGTGTGTCTGCAATGTTGTGAAAAAGCAGTCATTACTTTAGTATTACAATGCCTTCCATGACAACAGCCATCAATGGGAAAGTTTCATATCCGAATCGATATGAACGCGTTAACTGAATAACTTGCGAATGTGTGAGTCAAGCATTTGAAGCACCCTACCCAGTAGCCTGCGTGGCAGGCGCAAATGCTACGCAGGCTACCTACCCAGAAGAAGGCATTTTTGTCAATTCCACTCGGGGTAGAACGCCCACCCCCACAATCTGAGGAATACAATAATGAAAAATATTTCTTGACAAAATCCTCTCCCCTGCAGGATTTAATTTAGTTAATTTAGCGCGGCCAATTTACTCATCGTAAGAAACACCTTCTCCATGAGTGGTGTCATAATACTTACCTTGACAAGTTGGAGCCACCCCACTCCATGTTCCATTTTCCAGGCACTGTCTCCTTGACGCGCCGGTCAAATTGTACCCAACATTACAAGAGAAGCTACATATCGCGCTATAGCGTTCGGAAACTGGGTTAAGACAGCCACGTTTTACTCCATTGATTAGATCAGGATGAGACTGACAGGTAATTTCTAATGAAAAAATAAATTTTAAACACTTGAAAAAAGCATTATACAGGACACTAGTTTATAAAGTAAACCGAATAAGGTACCGGAAAAGGTGACGTAAATCAAGTTTAAGTGGGTGTCGAGCTACCCTGGAGTTTTACAAAGTCGTTCGCTTGGCTTATCAGTCGAAGAACTTCGTACATGCTGAAGGCCTTGAAAGCCGGAAAGCAATCTCTACTCGCAGGGTAATGTGGAACTTCTATAGCTTCCATATTCAAATAAAGATGAAAAGCGTGACACCAGCACCCTACCGTGAGAACGGTTTAAATGGTTGTCAAGCGTGTATTGCTTCCATATTGAAATAGAGATGAAAAGCACGACATCAATATTGTACTGTGAAAACGTACCCTGGCATACAGGAATAGGGCTGTCCCAGACTCCCGGAGGGCTGTTACCAGGGGCAATGCATGTCACCGTTGAAGACCCATTCAAACGGTATCCAACGGAACAGGAGAAGTTACACTTTGAACCATAATGATCACCACAACTGTCCATTTGTAAAGGACCTCCAGGACTAACTCGTAGAGATGTGCAATTGATCACTGACCAATAAGAGATACAAAAGGGATATCACTATTAATTATTGCTGTTGATAAACACCTAGAATAAGACAAAATGGAAGTCAAACAAAACGTTAACTAAGTTTATTCAAAGGTAAGAGCCCCTCAGTTAATTCAATCACAGATATAGCACGTAAATCCAAAGTTTTAACTTCGAGGGGTCTGAAATGCCCCAGGATTAAACCTCAGGAAGTGCAGTGGCCTCTATGCTGTCGGGCAAAGTACAATTAAACGGAGATAATTAATATTATTGGATACAGTCTTTGCTACCTAAAATGATGACTAAAAACGTGCAGGTGGCTTTGTTTCCTGATTGGTCTACCGCTGTGTATGTGATCACGTGAGTTCCTTGACTGAACCTTGTTGGCGACTGGTAATTTGACGTCACTGTTGTTGAAACACCTGAGTTGTCAGTGGCAACCGGCCGGGTCCAGTTCACCAAGGCAGATAACATCTCTCTCTCGGCATAGGCTGTCAATGGTTTTGCCGGGCATGTGGCACCAAAGTCTGGGGGTTGAGTGTCTTAAGAAACAAGAAAACAAATTGCCTAAATTAAAATAAATACTATTAGAGCAGGCCATGACAACATATCAATCATCAAACAAGCTAACGAAAGAATAAGATCATACTATGAATTATAAAATAAGAAAACTGTACTGTTCTTTCATTGTGGGAAATCTGAAAACATTCCTGGGATAGGATGGTTTTTAAACTGGGCTTTCAAGCAAACTAGTTTAGCGGTTGCTTTAGTTTGACTGGCCTTTGTTGAGCTAAGAACTTTGATCCAGGCAAAATTGCCTAAGATTACATTCTGTTATAAATATAACCTGTGCAGTTTATGTCATTTCCACTCCATTGACCGTTCAGCAAACAAGTTCTTGTGACTTTTCCGGTGAAGCTGGTATAACCACTTTGGCAGGAATATCGGCAACTTGATCCATAAGTACTCCCACAGGAAGGAGTCAGTAGAAGCGCTTTAGGTGGGGTCGCCAGAAGTGGACAAATGATAGCTGACATGCAAGGAAAACACATTTTAGTTTCTTACTTGTAATACTTAAACCTTAATGTCATCTTTTGCACTGCTAAATAATACCCAATTGAAAGCCCGAAGGAATCCTCTTTTTTAAATCTATGCCAATCTTCTCCACCCAAACCATGCTTAAACATTGGTTCACAATACGACGCCGCTATTATACCTCGTTTATTTTCATTTATCCATTTTACCAAACTAATATTTTAAAGTTTTCTCCAATAGCGAAATCATGTTCAATGCTGGAAAGGATGACATAAAATGTCGTTATAACAATTCCTTTCACATATCATACCAATTTGTCTTGAACGTTTCTACCTGTTTGGCCACAAAGAGAACAATTTAGACTAGTCTGATTAGTTAATCAAAGGTTAGGCTGGAAGGGCGGGCTAGTGGGTGTTTAGAAGCCCAAGCGAATGTTGGCTACATACGTGTCGTAAATGCGCGGTAGCAATCTGTACATTAGGACTGCATGCGGGCTCCTTTGGTTGCTTGCATACTACAATCTTTGTCAAAACAATGAACGTCCATTAACGACGGCCAAATTTCCAGCGTGATTATTTTAAGGAAAGCTTATGCCGAATACGCTAATAATATTCTTACCTTGGCAAGCAAAATCTTGGCCACTCCAACTTCCGTTCTGAAGGCATGTCCTAGATGAGGAACCCAAGCTGACAAAACCGGGATGACAGGAAAACTGGCAGACAGTGTTGTAGATTTCTGTTGATGCGCCTGAGCATCCCTGACGGGTACCATTGGAAGGTGTTGGTAAGGCGGGACACGTGACAACTGAACAAGGAAATATGTATTGGACATTTATCCATCAGGTTAGTAGCCTGTGAGCCCGGGGGGTACTTTAGGAATTTTGGGAGACCCTGGAACCCTTAACCTATGCCAGAGCTAGTTCAGCAGAATTTTCCAACCCTATACCAGACTAAACTCCCCAAATCCCCCCTATCCTAAAGAAGCTGTTTTCCAGGAACTACTGAGGTCACTAGTACAGTCTAGCCGAAACAAAACCGATTTGAATTTTTAAAATTTTTGATTGGAAATTCCCGGTTTTTCTAGTCTAGACTAAAATCTTCAACCAATTGAACAGTTTCCTGGAAAAATGATGCCCTACTCTAGACCCAAACTTTCTGGTTTATATACCCTATCCCAGATTAAACTGCTTGAAAACCCTTCACAGCGACACATACCCATATAGCCTGCGAAGCAGTCATTTCTGTTTCCTCTTAACCAAGCTATAGAAACGCTGGAGACACTCGATAGCATGGCGTAAAAAGCAGTACAAAGATTAGGTGCCCTCCGCCTCGCCTTCTCTAATTTTTTTAATTGTTTCATTTTACCCCATCCCCTTGGGCCTTTCCAGCACTTTTCTCTTTTGTCTAAGAGGAAATGGAAACCACTGCCAGCTAGCGGACTATCTAGCAGGTTAACACATATTTTTTCTACCCGTTTTGCGGAATTCAGAAATCTCTGTAAAGACACTTTTATTAGATCATTTTTTCACTTCGATCATTGTTACACAACCAACGTAAATGTTGTTGGATGTATTGCAAAGTTTTAAGCTTTTAGCAACCGCTTGTTTCAATTTTACTGCGTCTTGAACGGCTCTGTAAGAGGACGGACTAAGTTGCGCGGATTCCTTACCTTCTACTCTGTAAATTATGTTACCTCGACTTACCAGTGCAATGCGTTTGTACTCCAGTCCAACTACCATCGCCTTGGCAAGTCCTGGTGTTTGCACCGCTCAGCAAATAACCCTGGTCACATGAGAATACACAGGATTGGCCCGGTAGATTGGAACAAGGCAACAAACTACCATGCACAGGTGCAAACAGTCGGGGACAGCGGTTCACTATACAATGAAGAGAGGAAAACGCTTTTATAAAATTCCAACTACAACGAGCCTTCTTGTAGAAGTGTCCTACTTTCATCACCTGTGATCGAGAGCTCTCTTTTCTGAATAAAACGTGGGTACGCTTCCCGACGTGTGAGAGGTTGACTGTTTCAACTTCTCTGAATTCAGTCAGAGGGCGGAATGTAGCGGACAGAATAACATTTTGTTGTCGATTTTTTTTCCACTATTCTCAACTCTCAATGTTACAGAATCGTCAGCAAGCAACAAGTTTAAGCCATCTTATTACTATAAAAGTACTCACATGAAAACAAGAAACCGAGATTAGATTGGTAGAATTAAATGGACATAGCCCCTGCACTCAAGATAAACTGCATGTTAATTCAGTCTATCGCAGTGAAAAAAAAAAAACCAGCATAGAACTGCTGGGGGATTGCGCAAAGAAAAGAAAACCTAAAAAACACTAGTCTTTTTCGAGATCATAATTCCTACCTCCTTGACACGTCGTCGAGTCACCAGGTATCAAGTTCACCCCTTCCGGGCAGAAACACTGATGACCGTTTGGGTTTGGCAGGCAAATGTGACTGCATCCTCCATTTAAATGAGAACAGGTGGTAGTTCCTGTGTGAGGCAAAATGTAGACGGGCGTGTATTCAGGGTAGAGAAAAAATAGTGGCCATTGGACCGGCTTGAATTTTTTACAGAGAAGAGAAGGCTTGGTAAAACTTGGACAACAGCAAAGAAATGTCAACATTTTGGGAAAGGAAACTGTTAACGTTTTTTTGTTTTGAAAATTCTTCTCTGGGAAATAAACAATATATAGCTATGAATATCGCGAAATCTTTGAAGCGAGTTTTTGTTTTTTACATTGACAGTTTTTTCAT